GGGTAAAATATGGACAAACCCAGCGATTGGGTTGTTTTGACCCAGCAGTTGGGTTACTGCACAGGAGGTTGGGTTAAACATTCAACCCAACTGTTGGTTGAAAACAACCTAATTGCTGGGTTTGTCCATATTTTACCCAGCGCTGGGTTGTATTTAACCCAGCATTTTTTAGAGTGCACTGGCAGGCTTTTATCGCAATTATTTGCAACTCTCTGTGGCAGATTGATCTGTTACAGCTCAAAATTGATTATTGTAAGCCATTTATTATTATGAACCATAATGAGTTTATAATAGAGTCATGCATTAATTGCTAATTTTTCCTCTTCTTTCACTGCTCAGCCGCAGCAGATCATGACGCATCAGAGGGCTCCACAGCCAGCCCTGTGGCCGGAGCCGGAGAGAGTGACCTGCTGACCTGCGGTCAGTGTCAAACCAACTTCCCCCTGGGAGATATTCTAGTGTTTATCGAGCACAAAAGGAGACTGTGCCCCGGACCCAGCTCCTGTTTCGACAAACCAACTGACAGCGGCGGCTCCTCGTCCCCCAGACCCCCACGGCCGGAAGTCTGCCGGAGGTCTGGACCGGTGGAGGTTGGGATCCAGGTCACACCAGGAGAGGAGGAGGAAAAACGACTGACGCCCGCCAGAGGAATCTGCCCCAAGCAGGAGGGCATCCCAACAGGTAGGTGTTTTACACTGAGGGCTAGAGGAGGGGAAGGTTTATTAGTCTCTGAAGCTTGGCAGGAAAGAGAAACCTATGAAGTGACAAACACCTACGCACACACACAAAGATTTTTACTTATACTTGAAATAGGTGCACTCTTCAAGAACCAACAAAGTAGTCTTTTCTTGTCAAGAACCTTTTTACGGTTCTTCGGCTATATGCTCTGTTGAAGGTTTTACAGTATATAGTAACTACAAATTAAAACTTGAGCAACATTTTTTAAATGGTTACTGAATAAAATACTTATAAATTAAATTTCTTTCTTTCTTTCTTTCTTTCTTTCAAATCTTGCTTAACCCAAACAACCTTTGTAGTGTATCACAGTTTTCCACAAATCAGCACATTAGTAAGATTTCTGAAGGATCATGTGACACTGAAGACTGGAGTAATGATGCTAAAAATTCAGCTTTACATCACAGGAATAAATTACATTTTAAAATATATTAAAATAGAAAAGTGTTATTTTAACTGTAATAATATTTCACAATATTACTGTTTTTACTGCATTTTTGATTAAATAAATGCAGCCTCTTGTGAGCACAAGAGACCTTAAAAAAAACAACAACAACTTTATTCCAAATTTTGACAGGTAGTGTACAGTATATAATTAAAACCAATTTTATTTTAAAAAAATTGCCATCATTCCACTGGAATATATAGTTCATGATATGTAAACTAATAGTTGGTCTCTATAGGTGCTGCGCAGTGATATACACAGTATATTGGTGAACAGGATTTTGCCTTATAGCTTTTCCTCTATTACATATTTTAGCAAGGCTGGAAAACTGACCAATTACAACCCAGGACCAGAGCTGTTTGTTTAATAAAGGTTCTTTTAAAATTGGATTCTAAATAAAACCTTACTTTTTAAAGGAATATTTTACCCCAAATGAGTATTTTGTCTAGTTTTGTTTACTAATCATATCGTTTCAACCCCCACATTATTTTCTTTCTTCTGTGAAACAAAAAGAGATCCAATAGGCAGAAGGTCTGAGCTGCTGTTTGCATCAGTGATATCAAAGCTGCCTCTTTTGAACTGAACACAATTATTAATCATATTTGTGAGTTTCAGTAAATACCAAAACAATCAATGCATTTTGATTTGTTAATCACACAAAGCTATCGTACGACTTGCCGTTAAGATGATGCATTTGGGTACTTTTATGCTGCTTTTTAGGCCTTTTTGGAGCTTAGCAAGTATAAATCACCATCCAGCTCAGAAAATCAGCCTTGCTTTTCTTTTTGGAAAAATAATAATAACAATAATATGGGGCTGGGATGACGTGAGGGTACGTTAATGATGACAGACTGTTATTTTTGGGGTGAACTGTTCATTTAAGAGTGTAGTTTGATATGCACAGTTTCTCTTTATTACAACACAAACGCACACACATACTGTTCAGCAGTTCTGACTGGATCGCTTCTCTCAAAAGGTCCTCTTCTTCTGACTCGGGCCTTCAAGAGGGATTAACACCCCTTGCATGATTTTATTAGAGCAAGACGGCAGCATCTTTCTCTCTCTCTTTCTCTCATCTCTAAGTGAAACATAACAGCCCTGAGTGCGCCAGCAGCTGAAACCAATTCTCTAAGAGGAAAAAACTCCAGAAATCCTCACCCGACGTGTTTGGTGGAAATATCATCGTATTAAGAAAAAAAGGCTAAGAAAGCCCATTAAAATTCAAGTGCTAAGAGACATAGTGTGGGGATTAATGAAGAAGATTCCTCATTCAGAGGGTTAAAGACTCAGTTTAGCGTGCGGGGCCTGGAGGGGCCACATGTTATCTTCCAGCACAGTGCCCTCCTCTCAGCACACACAGCCTGGACAAGGAAATGCTTCACTTGCTAGTCAGGATATGACAAATCGAGACAAATCAAGCACACGCACACGTTTGCTGCCCTACGCTAGTCAGCAGGCTTCAGCCTTGTCAATACCTTTTCCCCTTTTTTTAAACTAAATTATACAAGGTTATTAGTTTTCTGTATTTGTTTGAATATGCCTTTTCAAAGCTGTTAATCTTGAGGGGGAGGGGTTGTATTATCTGAACTTTTTACTGAACAACTTTGGCTTTAGTTTTGCTTCGTTGACAGAAGTGGAGAAGTCGTCAAGGTTATCCACAGAAATGCAGGGCAGGAAGGTGCTTTAAGCTTGAATTAAATATTAGCGCATGAAAGCTTTACTCAACACAGTAGATTGCCACTTAACTGTCTTAAGTTTCAGTCAAATTAGATTATATTTAATGGGGCTAATTAAATACAATATGGAGCTATGGCAGCCTAGAGGCAAAAGCCATGCATGCTGTGGGCCAAAACACCAAGCCTGATGGGTGTGCGTTAAACCCTTCACATCTCAATGGAAATGTTTTAATCCATGCTAGAATGGCTCTTCTGTTCAGAAGTAATTTTAAGATAGCATATGTTTATTTAGATTTGTTTAAGAAATAGTTGACACAAAAAAAGGCAATTTTGGAAATGTTGTTGTCATTTACTTTACTATTGCTTTGCAAATGTGGAGCGGTCACATGTTGAAAAATCTCGAATTGAATTTACATTAGGGGGAATCTTTAGGCACTTGCGGGGTCTGATATGATTCAGATTCTGGGAATCATGATTTGATATTTTTATTATTAACTAATGAGTTTACCAACTTTGGATATCACATTGATTTGTGCATTTTTATTAAATTAAAGTAACACTTTAGTATAGGGACCAATTCTCACTATTAACTAGTTGCTAATTAGCATGCCTATTAATAACATATTTGCAGTTCATTAGTGCTTATAAAGCACATATTCTGCATGACCATATTCTACATCCCTAATCTTACCCAATACCTAAACTTAACAACTACCTTACTAACTATTAATAAGCAGCAAATTAGGAGTTTATTGAGGCAAAAGTCATGGTTTGCTAATGGCGAGAATTGGACCTTAAAATAAAGTGTGACCTAAATTACTTCTAAAATAAATAAATAAATAAATACTTGCAATCAAAAATTAAAATCAAAAATTGTATATTAAGAATTATTAATTAATTAAATTACCTTAATTAATTTTTAATTAACTAAATATTGCTTCAAAATGTTCGCACGTACATAACTGATTGCAGAAGTTTGAATATACCTATATGCAAATAGGATTTTCAGTAAATTTCAATTTTTGTCTGTTCTTCACACAAAATTATTATTTTTAACCCTCTGATGCTCTGTAGTGTTTGACTACAGCAGTCATGGGACGGGCTGATACACACACACACACACACACACACACACACACACACACACACTCCAATTAAAAAACACTAATTTACATAAATACAAACTGACTGATGCACAGACAGAGACAAAGACATTTCACTCTAAAATCAAAAAGAAAAAAATAAGAAAGTATATTCACTTTTGACCGAATAGTTTTGTTTTCAGTTTTGAATTTTTACAAAAATCACAGCTTCTTCAGAATGGTACAAAACTTGGTGACTTTTATGGCATTTGGAATGTGAAAAAACACACAAAAAAATTGAGAGCATGATTCGAGCAGGCTAAGTAGTCGTAAAAAAATAGTCACACTTGTGATCTTCGGTCAAAAATGACCGACAATAGGAAATGAATGGGGAATCAACAAAAACACAAAAATTCAGAGAATTTATGTGTGTACAATCTACAAATATACACAGCAATGACGGGGTGAAACTCTAAAACATCAAGAGTGCAAAATCAACACATCCACTCACACACACTTATTTACACACACTCACAGACACACACATACAGAATTATACATACTCAAATGAATTGGTATGGCTATAACCATATAGCCAAAACGAGTCAGAAAACTGAAATAAGAGGTTAAAATCAGATCAGACCCAGAAGGATTAAGCTCTGATAAAACATTCCTGTTCATTTTTGTTACATTTTTATAGAATTTTAATGTTTTGAGTATCAAAATGCTTTCTGTGTTCAGGTTTGAATGTAGTAATAATAATGCAAAAACCTACACTTCAAATCAACATTTAAAACAACAAAAAATATAAACCAAAAACAATTAGAGAATTTATAGGCCTTTTATATAGAGCTATATAGGAATCTAGTGGCCAAACCATAGAATTGCAGAAGTTTTTCTTATTTTACTCCCACCAGATGGCACTAATTTGGCTTCAAAAAATTGGATTTTAAAGGCATTGACTCTATTTTAACATGACATACTGCATTAATTGAAAAGTAATATAATTTTTTTTTAATTGTATTATTTTCAATGGGAAGAAATTGATCATAATTATTGCATAAATATTAATTAGTACCATGAAAACAGCCCTGTATCTCAAAATACAAAAAATTATGAAATTGAACAAAAATATGTTACATTGATTTTACTAGGGGGATGTAAAATTTTAGGTGTCCGGTCACTTCTTGGTTAGGTTTAGTTGCTTGTAATTATGCATAGTTTACTGTTTTAGTACATGTGTGTGTAACTACATCACATTAAAATAGTGTTACCTTTTTTGTTGTTGTTGTTTACTATTCTTAAATGCTGTTACTTATTCACATATTTATGCCTATGCCAAAATCTGTCTTTAAGTTCTCCTTCTCTTTGTTCCTCTGATATAGAAGATTGAGACATTTGAAGTGTTTAAATCTAGCTACCGTACTAAATACTTCTCATGCCAGATTTATTTTTGGTTAGATAATAGTTGATTCAATGCATCTAAAACTTCTCTGAAAAAAAACACAAAACAAAAAAAAAAACAATATGGGATTTATATGTCTACTGTGTTGAATAATTAACAGGACACCAATTTGTACCATATTCAAGGAAAGTGCCCATTACCTGCAGTTTCTGATAGAATATCCCATCAAGTGAATACCAGCATCATTCTTGCTATTTTCAAATCTTATCCTTCATATGTGAAACTGCCCTTAGTTTCTAATCAATCTCTGAACTGTCTAGCTAATCATACTCCATGAACGCGGGAGAAAGTGTACCGCATCATGCGCTTGTCCTTTCCAACGCTCCTCTAATCACCTAGCATGCGCTCATTTAAATATTAGAGTAGGCTTTAATCATGGAAAGTAATCAGTGTCATGAATATTCATACCGTGCCGGTCTAACAGTCTCATTGTCTCACTCCTGTGCCAAATCGTGTCTTCCTGCCTCTCAGCTGTCTGCTCTGATGGCCCCAGTCTGGTATCAATGGAAAGAAGTTTAAAATAAATACACTATTCATACATGATCCTAAGAGAACAGTGTGTGTGTGTGTGTGTGTGTTGTGAGAGAGTTTCTAAAGATGGGGAGACTGATCCCTGTTCTAAGAGATGAATGTTTGCACAGCGGCTCAAGAAGATGCCATTTGCATAATGACTTTGTAGTTTTGCATTAATTAAATTTGCATATGAAACTGCGTTAATTACCTCTGATCATCTGTTTTCAACGTTGCAGCATTTGATGTCCAGCCTTCGGGGTTGTGATTAGGGGTTACAGTGGCTGTTTCCGACTGTGTGTGTGTGTGTGTGTGTGTCAGGGACAGAAGCAGAATAGAAAGTGAATTTGATGAGTCAGTTTCACAGTCCTTTTTACTCTTTTTTGTGTCCAAACTCTTGCTAATATCCTGGCATATGAAACAGCTCTTCTGAGTTTTGCAGTTAAAAGAGAAGAAATGTTTTTGAAGCTCAGAGAATTTTTTTTAATACACAGCATCTTTAGCAAGTTCAAGGATCAGCCTTTGAATTTTCATGAAGGTACTGTCTTAAGCACTCTTTTTGTAAATGCACAGACATTTTTAAATAAAAGAATATCAGGAGCTCTTTGTCTCTGAACATCTTTATGCAAGATCAACCACAGATCCAGCAGTGAAGAGAAGCACTTTTTTTCACACGTTTACACCATTAAGGAAATTATGTTTATCCTTGAGCATAAGATCTTCACATAAATCTCCAAACGGTTTTAGTATTAAAATTAGTTTTACATCAGTGGTACTCAAATGGCTTCAGAACCCATATTATATGTTGAACACAATTGTTTATTAGACAAATGATTAAAATAAACAATGAAATAAACCTTAAAATCAAACCTTTTCAGACACAACAATATGAAAGACCTCAAGTTATTAAAATGACGTAGGAAAACTGACAGCTTTATAAATGCATAAGCAAACCGCAAAATAGTGATTTACAGTCGTTATAGTTTGGCCGTTTGTTTTATAAATGTAAATTGAATTTTGATGGTTTCATGCTCTCGGCAGCCAATAAATCACTGCTAAAAACACATTGTGGTCACACACACCATATTTATCCTCTTCACGAATGAACAAGAGTATTTAATGTCGTCTGTGTCATATTTTCTTTTGCATGGTTTTGTTCATGGTTTTCAAGAGTAAGAGCGAGCATGTCACACGACCTGTCTTTTTGTTTGTGCGTATTTCTGGACACACATGCTTTGTCGTCTTTGTCATTTCTCCCTTTTTTAAAGTTGAAAAGTCAGTTTTTATGCATTGTTTTTATGCAGCTTTGCATCGGTAAATAGTTGCATTTTATTATTTGCATGTAGCTTTATTTTCACCCTACTGCCTGCAATCTTATCCGAATAGATCTGCGACCCATTTTTTGTGTTAGATCAGTTCATTTTCAATGCAGCAAAATCAACAGCAATAAATTCTCGACTCAAATTTAAATCTTAGATTATTTTACAGACAATGCTAATTAATTTCAAGGAAATATCTTTTAATTCTACAGACAAATAGTGGCATATATGTAAATACCATGGCATATAAAAATTAGTAATCATTAGGGCCTTTCGCACCGCTTTAGTTCCAGAACTAAATGTACAGTACTAAAGTACTGGGATGATTTTGCGCGAACTATTTCCCAGTACCATTTAAAGGGTTGCATTCGCACAGAGAGTGTGTACTAAGAAGTGACGTAAGCCAGTCGACAGCGTCATCATTTGTGCGCGGCGTTCAACAACAGAAACAAAGAACAACAACAATAACAACAGGAGGATGGAGGACGCTGTGATCGGAGCTGTGTTTTTGCAGTACCATGGTATGTATGAAGTACAGTACTTTTTGTAAATGTTGACTTGAAATCCCATTTAAAACCATATTGAACAAGATCTCTCTGTAGTGTTTGATGGACAGTCTTCTGTACACATTTCAATCTCTCTGACCTCTAGCAGTAAAATGCAAAGCAATGATGCCCAGCTCTTCACAGAAACCATACCCATGATCCCTTGCAACACCCACGCTATGCCAGCATCTCTGTTGCAGGGTGCCTGTGGTTAAGGCCTCTGGGATTTCGGGCCTGCTTATTTTTGGGATCCGTCCAAACGAGACCACCCCATCGCCGTCTGATTGGTGCTGTCTGCCGGCAGGGGTCAACCTGGTCCATGTTGGACGCATTATAGAGCAGGACAGCGCTGCATGTGCGCTCCACGCCGAGCCCTGGTGGAAAGAGTTAAAGTCTCCCACATGAAGGCATCAAACGCTCCACATACCACTTTATTGTAGTC